ACTCTTAAACAGGGCGTATAACGGTCAAACATGGCAAGGAGGATGGGTCCGTGGTATATATAGACTTCTCAGCAATCGGAAAAACCTGATTTCCGCTTCGTTTGCTATGCACCTACACTGGGGTGATGCGCATTTTTCATCAACTATAATACAAAGGCTGAGTCTCTTACTCCACCACCTCTATTGTCGCTTCCAGTGCTAACCAAATTTGAGTAGCCTGAATAAGATCGCGGCTGAGAAGTCCCTCTCATGATGCATAATAAAGTCTGGAGAAATCATGAATATTGTGTATTCAAGGAGGTCGATTCCTTTCCATAATTATTGTAGTTCGTCATTCTCTACACTGGGTTTAATAATGGTACATCCACCTATGAATCTCACCGAAGCTTCCACATAACTTCAGGAAAATGCTCGATATGGGAAGTGGGTCCTATTCGGAGCGTAACTTGTAAACCAAGAGCGAGCTCTATCTCAAAAACATAGACGAATTCCCCTTCATTGTGTTCAGGGAAGGTCACTTTGCTTATGTTTCAAAATGAGACAGCAGTCCAATAGTTTCCCGCCGCGTGGGCCGTTGGCGGGTCACACCATATCGTGCTCCTGGGATCGGTGGCCCGCGGGCGGACCGCCGTAATATTTGCATTATCCGTTGGACCTTTTGATACTTCTTGACGCTTTCAGGCACTAGCTAGGTTAACAGCTTTTTTTAGATTTTTGTTTTTTTTGTTCGCCTCCATCGCACTATTTTCTATCTTATCTTCCTTTCTGGATTACCTAAAATTATCGTGAACTGTGCCTTTAATGCTATATAGCAGAAAGATGACCCTATCTATTACCGAAAGCAATGCCTCTGCCACTTCGGCAACTTAGGTATATTCCAGTCGGAGCTCCCGGCTGACGCAGGGCTCTCCTCCTTTTCGTGTGAAGTTGGCCTCTCGCCCGCTCCCCTCTTAATTTGGAACGTACCGGTACAGGAAAGTAGAAATTACAAATTTCCGGCCAAACACACACACACACACTTCATGAGCGCCTTGCTCGTCATGAGCGGAATCCTGCTCAGTTCGTGTGTGCAGAAGTATCTTGGTTCCCCTCTCCTTTCAGCTTCAGTCGTGTTATTTGCTATCAGCCCGTCATTCCCGTTCTGGTGCCCGTACCATCAAACTTGAACGCCCCTGTCCTAAATTGACAATTTTCGAGCATGTCTCACCCCTGTGGGTGGTGTCTAGTCAAAACCCCTATGGCAGTGTTTCCACACCACTGCCGCCTCTATCCTTATCAATTCTGAAAGATCTAGGTCTAACTTAACAATTTTAGCGAACGCCCCGCCCCCCCCCCCCTAGAAGAACCACCGGCACTGTTTACCCTTTACCCCACCTTGTCGAGAATAGGCTGGATTTCTATCGAATTTTTTTAAGAATATGAAACCGACTAGAAACTTGCCTAGAGGGCTAATTTGACCCCTGCGAATAGTTACCATGCAGAGTAAATATGATATCCACGTTCTAACACACTACTTAGGGGCAAGTTCACAAAGTGGGGCAGTAAAGGGTAAATAGTGCCAAACCACCATCAGCGTTTCCATCCTGCAGTACGTACTGCTACCGAATTTGAACGCTCTAGGCCCAGGAGATCAAAAGACATGAGTTTCCTGTCGAGGATAACCGACACACACACACGAACACACACCGACAAGCGCACAGGCCATCATCACCTATTTCCTTTTCCTCCTGAAAAAATATAAGTGAGCAGTAGCCCCATATCGAGTAATACAAATCAGAACTGATCAAAACTCGTTGCGACTACCGCTCGCTACGTTTGCAGCTATGTTCCCTCCAATCTCTTTAATTTTCTCGAGTTGAAACACTATACCACCAAAGAGAACAAAGTGGCCACTGATCGGTCACTTGCATAAAAGGTAGGTGTTGCAAATAGGTATGCCGGCCAACATTCCCACATCGCAAATCCTACCACACGTAAATCCCCCGTGTCTGAAGGGACAAAGCTGTAAAATAATAATCTGAAAACCCTGAACAGAATCGCCGGCTTTGGATTCAACGCTCTCCCCGCAGTTCAGTCCTGCCGTTTGTATCCCTTCATAATTTGGATGTGCCAGCTTCGAGAAGCAATTTTTTTGCAAGCTCCACTTCTAGTGGACGTGTTCAGCCTTGTTGCCTACCATCAGTCTCTCATCTTACCCTCCCTTCCAAATTTGAACGCGCTACTTTGAACTAGCAATTTTCGTGCATGCCCGCGCCGAGTTGGACTGTGGGCCTGCCACTTACACTCAGGGTTTTGATCCTGCCGCCTGCCACTCCTAGCAGATTTGACGCTTCAAGTACGCGGAAGTTCTAATCATGAAGAACCATTGAAACACCTCTCATCTTACGCCGATCTTTTTGCCGCTGGAGCCTAGCTCAGATCATGTGTTCCCAAGTAGCTCCACACATTCCCCATTTGTTTCGACCTGGCTAGTCTATTCCACTTCTATTTTAGGAAGGCAGCATAAGGTGGTGATACACATAAAACGAACATAAACTCATCTTTCTGTTCATAATCTTTATTCAAATACGCTTTACATCTTTGCACAAAGACGAGTTTACTAGAAGTTGTGAATTCCAGCAATATGCTCCTACATTTCACAAATTAGCACTGAGATCAGCTAGACTACCAATATGCTTCCACACTTGATTTATTTCCACATCTAGCAATATGCTCCCACACTTTAATTTATTTCCACAAATTCGCTATGTTTTATGTCACTTTATCCAACTTGTCCTTACTTTTTGCACACCGGTGTATATATCCATTGGTAACAAATGGAATGTTATGCTCGTGAACGCATGGAGGGGCGTGAGGAATATGTATGCCATTTTCGTTTATGTGGTAGGCAGACTATTCGTTCAAAGTTGCATGTCATTGTCCAACGCCGCTGCATTAGCACTCAGTTCAAGGGTACAATCGCCACTGAGATTTGACCTATACCCTCCAAGGGTAGCACAAAATATGCTGCCAGGTTGAAAAACGACTTGCGTAAAGCTTAACAAAGACCCCGAAACCAGCTTAGTCGACATCCACACCCAAAGGCGGACTGATCTCGTACGGGTTGTTGAGAACATTTTTGCTTACTGTAGTCAACTGTGAGCAATGGCATGCACTGAAGAGCTTGTCCAAACACCCCTCACAGCCGACTCCCGTGTTTTCTTCGCTTCCATTATGCATCTTAATCTGGATACCCTGAAGTTATCGGGAACTGCTCCTTCAAGAAAGTCGGGCAAACAAGGACGTACCCACGATCTTACATGCCCTCTTAACATAGAATATTACGGCCACGAATAGCCATACGAGCTCAATCGCGTCGTTCAAGAGGCGACAACAGCGAGTTGATTAGCCTGGGCACAACATTTTTCGGCGTACTCCCGATGGGACAAGTTGTTGCACATTCTTTACGCCGGCATCGGATTCAACCTAAATCTGCAAAAAACACTACCACGCTAAAAAGAGGAACGCACGGAAACAGCACAGTGCCGGCAGGCTATAGACGACGGATAATGCCAGTATTGACAAAACGAGAAAACAACAACGAATCCTGGCCTGTAAATCGTACCGATTGCGCTTCTTGTCAGCCTACACCTGCAGGCTGAACCTGATTGAATACGTCTTTGTTTATGTTGTTGTTTGTGCGTTGTTTATTTTGTATAAAACAGATGATTGCTTTCGTTTTGTACTGAAAATGGACACACTGTTTCGATGACTGAATAGGCTACTACGCTACTGAGTAGTAAAGTGATCCAGTTTGATTTGAAAGGTCTCGCTGAAATGTAATCTGAATTCAATGGTACAGCTTTTCTCATCTTTTAGAAATGGTGGAAGATTAGAGGAATACGATGAACTGTGGCCGGTACGTTGGGCTAGATGCCGCATCTTTTCCAATCCTGAAGATGCCCTTAGATCGACGTTCGCTGTGAGTAGCATGGTAATTTATTTTCGAATATGCTATCAACGAGGTAATATTCCGCATGAGCATTAGGCGTTATGTGCCGGTTTTGTTCCTCTATTCAATCTTCGGTTTCTTCAGGGATCATATACGAGGAAGGACACCTATGTGCAGTGGAAAACACTGTTCTTACTTAGCACACTACCGGTGTGTGGAGCGGTAGGTCATTTAGTGAAAGTCATTCGTATCCTGATAATAGAGATACGTAGAGAATCCGGCGAGTCAGTTGGAAGTTCGGCCCTTTCAAATCGGAGGGTTTACTATCACGTATTCGTCTTGCCGCTAAATTTTGAACTAGTCATCATGAGCTTTCATACGAAGCGAACGAGACTGGGTATAAGAGATCCTATGATTATGAACTCTTTTAGCTTTATATGGATACGACTTTTCTTAGAAAACAGACTATAAAAGTCACCTGTATCACCAGTATCTCCTGTCGATAGTCGTCGATTTCCTCGAGCGGGCGCCAGTAGCCTCTTCCGTCGTCCCTGTCTCGAGTCAGAGTGGTCCAATGAATCGTCCTCGCTTCAATGACACGAGCTTCAGAGCTTTGAAGATGTCTGACCATTTCGTTGGCGGCCGTCCTGGAGTTGGTTTGATGTCCCGAGGGATCCAGTCAGTAACCGCCCTGGTCCAACGGTAATCACTATGTCGCATAACGCGTCCGGCCCACCTGATCTTCGATTTCTTGGCGCAATCAACGGCTTCCCTGATCTTCGTTCGTTGACCGAGCTCGGAACTCCGGACTTTCTCTTGCACTTGCGTGTATAGGAGGATTACGAGCATCGTTTTTCCAAAACACGTTGAGTAACACCAACAGTAACACTGCTCATCCTGCTTTCGTAGAGTCCAAGTTTCCGGGGCGTACGTCAAAGCAGGAAGGACAGTAGTGTGGGAAAGGTGAGCGCGGAGCCGGATGTTCATTGTCTTCTTCACTACTCCCTCAAAATTATTGAATGCTTCCCACGCGCTGCGTTTCCTTCTGCACAGCTCCGGAGCTAGGTCGTTCATCGTGTTGGCTTCTCCACCTAGATACACATAGCTAGAGCATTTGGAGATATTCGTTCCGTTGAGTGTGAAGGGAGCATCAGGTACCAATCCGTTTTTTTCATGAACATCGTCTTCGTTAAATTTAGTCTCAAGCCGACTTTTCCACAAGCTCAGCTCAAACTCGGCCAGCATTCGTTCCGCCTGCTCGATGTTCGGTGTTATGAGCACGACGTCGTCTGCAAAGCGGAGATGATGTAAGTAGCGGCTGTCGATCTTCACTAGCAAGCCTTCCCATTCCAAATGACGCATCATATTTTCGAGAGCGGCACTGAAAAGTTTGGGCGAAATGGTATCGCCCTGCCGTTCACCTCTCTTCACGTTGGTAATGACCTCCTTGAAGGATGGTGCAATCCTCGTCGTAAAGTTGTCGTAGAGCTCACGAAGTATCCTTGTATAATATATTGAGTAGGAACACCCTGGTTGCCTAGGGTCCAATGCCCTGGTTGCCCAGGGCTTCAAGTACCACTCCTGTCTCGACGGTGTCAAATGCTTTCTTCAAATCGATGCACGGAAGACACAACGGCATTTTGTACTCCTCCGATACTTCAATGAGTCTTGTAACGGTGTGGATGTGATAGACAATGAGTCTTTTAACGGTGTGGTTGTGATCGATTGTACTGAACCCTCTACGGGACCGTGCTTGCTCGCATGGCTGTCCTTCATCTGATAATCTGCCAATCTTGTTAAAGATGACTCGTGTGAAGAGTTTATAGATTACAGACAGCAGGCAGATTGGACGATAATTGCCAATATCGTCTGTATCTCTCTTTTTGTAGAGCAACACAGTCTTGCTAGTTTTCACTACATGGGCACTTTGCATTCCGGCACGTTCCGCTCAAGGAGTCTAGCCAGAGTTCTGACGATGACTGGTGGAAGGCTCTTCAGATGTTTGGTTTGGTCCTATCGGGACCAGGCGCCGTACCCTTCTTCATCGACGTGATAGCATGTCGTATCCGGAAGGATATAGCCAAAGGAGCGATATATTCGGATCGTGGGCATGGCAGTAGACGTGACTGTCGAAAAGATCTGAGTAGAAGTTGTCGATGACCTTCTCCATTGCCCTTCGCGATGCAGTAACTGTTCGGTCAAGACGACGAAGGGATGTCATCTTGGTCTTGTAATTGACGGAGCTCCGTCAGGCTTTGCGGATACTTTTTCCGACCTTGGTGGCTTCGTCCATAACTGCTGCTCTTCTCTCTCAGATCTTCCTTTATCGCGTCTCTGCATGGCTTCTTAAGTTCGGACTTCAGCTGGTTATTGCCTGTAGCTCGCGCCATTCCACGCTGGCGTATCAGCTCCAGAGTCTGCGAAGTAAGTCGTCTCTTGGCTACTTGTAGACTCTCTGCTTTCCTAGCGCTATCGTGAAGATGTTCGACGAGTCGGTTGTATTGTTCATCGATGTTGTCGATGACGGAATCTTCACATTCACTCGCAAAGGAAGCGAAGTGTCTCAGTTGATGGGGGTTCCGGGCTTCATTTCCTAAACTTTATAGCTCTCTCTCCACGCACTGAGAAGCAGAATCTAGAGCGGAGGAGACGATAGTCCGATGATAGAACTTCGGAGCAACAGCGACGTCAGCCAGACAAAATCTCCGATTGAAGTTGATGTGGTCGATTTCATTATGGAACAGTCCACCAGGTGAATCCCATGTCCACCGCCAAATGTGAGGGCTTCTGGAACCGCGAGGTACCATGGATGGTGTGGGTCGTCATGATAAACTTGGGCAGCCTTTCACCCTGCTCATTCCATTCCATTCCGTGTGAAGCTTTTCAGCCGTTCATCTGGGGATCTTGGCGTTAAAATCACCGACAATAACCTTCAAGAAAGTGTGGTCTTCTCTGTAGAGCATCTCCAGGTCCATTTGAAGCGCTCCCAACTCCTCTTCTTCGTAGCTCGATGTTGGTGCGTAAGCAATGAAGATGGTTAGAGCTTGGTTTGAGCCACATCTCCTTGACCGCAAACGTCCGATTCGGGTTGTTAGGCTTTCGTACGAATCGATGTTTATGGCCAAGTGCGTATTGACGAGGACACCTACGCCGCCGACGCCTCTGCTGTCGCATGTTCAAGAAACAGTTCTTCTCCATTCTCAAATACAGCGTGCAGCGGGCGATGCATTCCCGTCTCGGTCAGTCTGATGACGTCGTACTTGATCTTAGCTTGCATCATCGGGTTTTCTATACAGGCTTCCGATGCAGGCGACCGAGCGTTAAAAGTACAGATCGTCATCTTAGTCCTTCTCCTTTTGGGCAACCTGATTTGACCCTGAGTTTTTGATAGCCTCTCCCGAGTGGGTCTACCCAACGTTGCCCTATGGGGGCTCCCTCAGGTTCACGGGAATGAGGTCCATTTTTCTTACTGCCTTTGGCGAGTAGATACCCAGCGTGCAGCTTGCCAGGCTCTGCCGTGGGGGCTAGTTTGACTCCGGGGGCTTGCCAGGCTATCCCAAAGTGACGAAAGTGGACGTGGCTCTTTGTTTTTGGAGGTGGCCCCAAATCGTCTCAGATACTTCCCAGTCACTCGAATGCAAGCTTTTGACTGAGTCGATGGGCAGGATACCAACTGCACCCACAGACTCTCCACACACGTATGCGTGGATACGCCTGCGAGAAACAGAAATAATATCGATCAGCACAGCAGCATCAAGGAGTCCATCCCCACAATCCATTTGTGTCTCCGGGCAAGTACCGGTGACTTTTAGTCGGCGATTAATTCCCCTCTCCGCTACCTGGGGACGCCCTACGTAGCCTCGTCGCTGACCGGCTGGGGTTCCTCCGAACTCCGTGAAGGAATCCGTAGATTATAAAAATATAATAGAAAAAGGGATAAGCTAATCCTTCCGGGGTAAGGTGGTCTTGTTGCGTTGCAGCACTCGTCTAAATTACCTTTTGGGAATGAACATAGCAAACTCCTACTGTTTCACCATGGCAACGCTTTCTTCAACGGTTCCGCTATGGGTCTATTTGACCGATGAACTATGTTTCCTTGGTCGGGTGCAGCATGTAGAAGTAAGGCGATAAGAATTTGAACTATTAGGATGTTTCAGACATTCTTCATACATTGTAAAAGTGTGATTGGTATTATATTTGGCTAGTCACATTTGCGCTGTTCATGTTCTATATGTAAGACGTGCACGTCTCTGCCGTTGCAAAGCTTTTCAGTGAGAAGGGCGAGTTCTAGGCAAATTTTTGGTCTCAGGCGGAACTGGAACCCGTGCCTGTGTGGCGAAATAACAGCAGCTGACAAGAAAATCAGGTAGGCCGAAGTTTTACCCACAGCTGGCCTTGTGGGACTTCCGCATCGCGTACTGCGCTATTGACAGAACATGAACTCAACACGAGGTTTTTCAGTACTCGCTAGTTGGATCAATATGTCCTAGCAAGCTCTCTGTATGAGTGCCTCAACAAAGTGTACCTAGGAACTTAGCAACAATTTTCATCTGCTCCTTACAAAAGTTTTTTAGGTATTGCTCTGCCTGAAAAGGAGTGTGAAATTCGTTATTTGTGTGATACTGTCACTTACACACTATTTCATTTTCTTCGGTGTATGTTGTATTCCATGCTGCTACCATTACTCATGTCGGCAACACAGCTTTTATCATCGTCACAAATGCTCTCGTACATTCATAAGGTGACGTTCGCGCAGGGATCTCTTAAATAAAGTCACCCCAAATTTTTACAGATGCTGTTCAAACATTTTCCATTTCACTGTACTGATTGTCTCGCTACTCGGTACCGTGTCACTTATTGTCTTAAACTTTATACTTCTCTCCTCCGTTCACATAATCGGCTCAAACACCTTTCCACCAGAAATTGATCAGGTGAGTCTCATGAAAATTTCTCCCGTTTCAATTTTAATTTTATTTCATTTTATCTTCTTCTGTTTTAGCGTTTATCACACTTGGGAGTGGAGTCTGCTCTGTATGAATTCCAACTAGTAGTAAGTCTCCACGCACTTTATCAATGAAGCGGTGCTTTAAGCGTCCCTTAGGCTATTTTCCGAGTATTTCAGAGCTGGGGCCAATTGAACCAACACTGTTTTGTCTCCACGCAGGTCACGGGCGAACCACCTGAAGCGAGATCGCGCATTTTATCGGGAATAGGGGTTACTTTGAAACGCTCGCTTATGATATCGTCTCGAATATGATCCAGGCGCGTGAACTCAGCCGTCTATCTAAACAACTCGAGTAATGGCATCCATGACGACAGATGAATAGTAGTAGGGAAAGTGCAGAGCCTCGGTGTATCTCAGCGGAGGATGGAAATTACCTAGTCTTCAGATGTGAGTAGAGTCTGTGCATCCACTCAGCAAGCTCTTCATGGACCTCGCGTTGTCGCAAGTCATACAATACAAATTTCCTCGGAACGCCATCGAAAGCGTTTTCCAGGCTTGGAAAAGCCTCATGCTCTAGTTTAAGTTTCTCACGATGTTCTTTTAGTAAGAAACGAGCGGTATGTATTACATCGGCGGTGCTGGAACCGATTCAAAACCACACTGGCGGGCAGAGGGCTGAACGACTCCTAGAATGTTATCGTCAACAATTCATTCAAAGATCTTTATACTGCGCGAGAACAGGATGGAAATTTTGCAGCCTGTAGGGCTGCTCCTCTTCTTCCAGATCGGAATGATGGTACTCTGTTACCAACAATCAAGCACCTTACTTACTGGACTGACCTGAATAAGAAACTCCGTCAATCATGCTGCAGGACTCCAGCACCATTCCCCCAAGTCGGCTTTTAAGTCATCATGACTAGTTGCCTTGAAAGGCGTCATCTTCATCATAGCTGTTAACGTATCCTTCATGGTCATCTTTCGTACTGGAACGAGCACAGACAGGTAGAGGTGGATGGGGAAACCCAACTGCTAAATTATTTTTGTAGTAGTCCTGCTATACTGCTCGCTTTACTGCTCTCTTCGGTTTGTTAGAAAATGACCCCTACTCATCCATCATCGCATATTTTGAGCTTCTTACTGGCTTTATGAAAACAAGCTGCTTTTGCAGCTGCCACACCTTTTTATACACCTTCCATTAGTTCTACCCGTTGTTGGTCGTCTTGTCGAGGAGAAATATTTGATAGAGCTTCTTCTACAGCCTTATCTAGAGCAAGTGACAGAAGTTACTGCTATGGCAGCCGCGATGGCTGGTATCTGGATTCGAGTGATCACAGCCGTCTACCTTTCTTCTGTTCAATTTATTTTCATTTAGGGGAGGCAATCTTGGATGTTCAAATCAGTGTGCACTGTTGCGTTGATGTATGGTATACGCACAGAAGTTGTAAGGTTTGCGGTGATGCGGTAATTACCTTGGGACCAGTCTCGAGCAGACCAGCAATACAACAGCTTTATCCTTAAGACACACACAGTGCAATTAAGAAAACTATGATCAAGAGATCTTCACAATGAGAAAAGTAGTAGAGTATATTACAGCAGATTAAGATACAGATACAATAAATGATATCTTATGAAAGAGATAAGTGTTGGCCCCACTTCTAAGGGCGCCAAAGTGTTGGAAGTTGCGGTCCTTCTTCTCTGGGACGATGTTAAGGGCGCGAGTTCGATAGCTTTCTCCTTCTGGGGTAGATCCGTGTTCGACTCGAGGCGAGAATGAATCATTGGATTAGATACGTGCCCTTTTACATGGAGCTCTTTTCGCGCACGGATATTTCGTAATCTTACTGTCTACCTTACCTCGATTTCGCGCCTTCCTTACACCCACGGGAGCCTCCAAGAGTGGTCTCCACTCGCCTCACTCGTATAGGTCTAAGCTGAAATTTCTTCGTTAGAATGTTTTCAATCCTTTTTCTTTTTTTTGCCTGTGACTCGCCCCACTTTTGCGTGGTCCGTGCCATCTCAGAGTAATCGTTCTTTCGAAGGGCTGCGGTGCACTGCCCTCTTCGTCGTGTCTCCTTTTCTTCGGAAGTCCTTCGACTTCCTTCTCTGATTTTTCTGCAGCCGGAGGCCACTCGCTTACTCAGAACTTTCTAATACTTGCGAACCATCTTTTGATGTCAGAGAATCCGATTCAACCTTGCTCATCACAAGAAGCTGTCCCCAACGACCAATGTGGGTGATCCCATTCTCCAGGTTTTGCGTGGTGGAGCACTCGCACATTGTCGATTACCTTCCTCACATTCTCCACCGCTGCCTTTATCGCATTGTAGGCCTTGAACCATTTTTTGTTCCTACCCCAGGTAATGGAGCCGTGCCAATGGCGACTTGAACGCCCCTAAACGCAAAGTCCATCTAGTCACGCTGCCAAGTCCTTAATGATGCGATCTATGCTCGCTTTTTCGACGCTCTCGATTAACAGTACGTCCGAGTTTCCGCAGTACGAACAGTTCAGCATTTCCTTGTTGCTTTTTTGTGGCGTCTGTTCACCGACCCTTCTTGGGTTTCTCTTTTCTGCAGTTATTAACCTGCCACCATCTTTAAGATTTGATGCCCCTCCTTAGGCTTAGGTTCACATTTTTTTTCCATTTGGCGCTATCCCGCAGACGTTCAATCCTAGGTGCGGCTTCCATCATCTTTTCATAGACCTTGTTGCGATATTCCGTTTCGAGTATTTCCACAGCGCTATCGCCTCTGGCCATTGACTGAGCTGTTCTTGGAGGATCTCTGCTCGAATAAATGCTAGTGCACTTCCATCAGCTTTCATCCTTTCACGGGCAACACTTCGAGTTCTAAACAGAATTCCAGAATGAACTGATTGCCTCTTTTCTTCAGAGAGCGTAATTTTCTTGTTACCTTGCTTGCTCTGCCGGTCTGTCCACTGGCTGCTTCCATAGTCTGCCGACCGGCAGGGGGACTACTCGGCCTGCGGTATTGATCAAGGTTTAGTTAATCAAGTGGCAAGCGCCGCCCCCCGGGAGTCTTCGAATTTCTCTTTTATATCTCCTTTATTTATTTAAATCCCTCTTTATTGCTAATTGTTTAAACTGCTTATTGTTTTACATTCGGCATGGATGCCGCTCTCATGTACTCGTTTATGAAACGTGTGTGCTTACAGTGCTTCGCTCAGACTCTACGGAATGCTCTACTCGTACTATTCTTATGAATAACTGAGGCTTACCTAACTGCCCACTCGGCGGATAGTCCATCGCTTCTGATGTCGCAGTGAGAAAAGTCTACTGAATACTTTCTGTATTACTGCCAGCGTTAGGACGTTGCTCGTTTAACTCACACTCCAATGGCTCCTAGCCGTGATAAGCAACTTTCTCCTATCAATGATTCTCTGCCTCTTGGGTGCCTTGGCACGTAACGATTCGGCCAACAATCTTTCAATCTTTTCACGCTGTTCAACCGTACGTTTTACTATCTCTTTGTCATCACATCCGTATAGGCGACCTGGTATCTCGAAATTTTCCTTATTTTCGTCATCTAGACGTCGAGTTCCTTTCAGCGCTAGCCTTCTTACACTATTCAGTTGCAATTCCGCTATTTCAATTTGATTGCTTACTGCTGTATACTTTTTTCCCGCCCTCCGCTATTTGTTGCCCAAAGAATCATCTACTACCGTTCTGCTTTTGCGCGCCTCCGATCTGAGTCTCTCACCAGCTTTGATGATTTTACCTATCGTAGGGTTCACATCGGCTTCCTCCGTGAACTCTGGGTTTGCCCTTCCGATTTCATCTGTAAGGCTCTGCGCCATTTCGTTGTCTTCCTCCATGGCCGCTGTCTCTTCAACGTACTCTGGTTCGTGGTACGAAATTCTGGTCGATTCGCGATCAATACTGCTTGGGAAGAGCCACTTCCGACCCTCGTTCTCTCGCAATAGAGATATGTATATTTTACTTTGCCTCGCGAACCTCTTCTGTGTCACGAGTGATGTTGCTGTTCTACTATGTTCCAGCCGGCTAGGCCCCTATGTAAGGTTTGCGGTAATTTGGTTCATATGCAGCTTTTCCTACGCACGGATATTTCGTGATCTCATTGTCTATTTCTACCTCGATTTCACGCCTTTCTTACATAGGCACTCACTCCAAAGCCATCACGACAAGTGCAACTATCATTCGAAGTGCCAACATGCCCATTAAGGACACCTGCGACAATCTTCTTCTAGTGGCACTCCAGTCGTCTTCTCATAAAACAATCTCCATAACTCTTCCTTTACTTCTTCAGATCACCCATTCCGTGTGGCGCAGATAGAAAACAAGCCTTGGAAACGTGCGGAGACAATACTTCCGACCTCGCATGTAGTTCTGTGGCCGCTGCAAAGAATGACTCTGAAGCCGCCAACAATGTCTTTCGTCTTGCGGAAAGAGCATTTCGTCTCTGGCGCAGGATTCGTGTGGCACAGGAGTCTACTCGAGCGCATATAATAGCTCGAAGAATAGGCTCGTCTCATGCCAGCATTTGGAGTTGCAACGTGAGCCTACTACCTTTTGGGACTCCTAAACTAGCATAATTGTCCTCTTATGCTCTTAAAGCGCCGTAGCATTGAATCGCTGAACATTCGATTTCATTAAGCATATAAATGACCACAGTGGTGGCAGGTAGGCCTATCGAATGCAACAGAGTCTCCGCGTGCGTGAAGCCCGCCAAAGTTTCTAGTGGCACCACGTAAAGGCGCACACCATATCACTTCTCTTTTCCAGCAACGTAGTAAACTGCAGTGATGGGCGCAATTCATATAGTATCCATAGTGTTATACCTTCGCCGCACTTACGGCATTAATGACATGTTGAAGTGGCCCTGGCGTTGCCTGAGCCATATGGCCTGAAGACTGTTCGGTAATGTGCGTGCTACACCATTGCGGATTGTGTAGGGTAGAAGCAGAGATTCGCTTTGTTAAAGGCTTATTCTGAGCAACCAGTTAGACATTTGCATACCTGTTGCATAGCGCCAGCACCTTCTGAAAGCTTCTTTTGAAGTATGAATTGATAGCAAGGTTGTGGGGGTGCGCCACAACAAGCGACACTGTTCAGTATCTTCACGCTTTCCACATGCGAAAACTCAGTTTCAGTTGCGATCGAAGTTTTGTGGTTCCGAGAGGTCGCGTAGGGCTAAATGGGTTACCATAGCCGAAGTGGTGTGCCCACTCCAAAATGTTAATTCTCCTTTTTTAAGATTTGTATTACCCTACTGCCAACTTCTCGTTCCATTCACGCAGCAGTACTACCTTCGCCTGTGCTACCTTTCCATTCTCTCGAGCAAAACGTGAATAGGTAAGTAACATTTCTATGAAACGAGATAGTACCACTTCCTAATATACGTCATCACCTAGCAGACTTATTAAAGAGAACTGATGCTTCTGCGCACTAATGGCTGAGTTATTTGAAGGATTTTTCTGCCGAATGATAAGAAAGCTTCTACCGTCTGTAAATCACTCTGGAAAGACGGCGAATTTGGGATTGGTTTTCGTCGAAAAGAAGCCGGACCTTGGCAGACTAGACGTCGTTTCAATAATAGGCTAATAGTTGGTTTTTGATGAGTGTTTTATTTATTCATTCAATTGGTAGCGTATTTCTCATACATGTTCGTTGGTTGATTTTTGAAATTTTTCAAGGATATCCTAGCCTCCTTGGTATTTGGAAACGCGCTGTAGTTTTTCCTCTGAAGAAGTACAAGAAGTCAAATAACAAACATAAGAGCTGGCGCTTTTACAATTCTTCATCGAAGTTTCGATTTCTATAAGTACTTTATTCCTTTTGCGATCTCCATCATGACGTCATCGGATACTGCATATATAAGAAATAGAACCAACCGAATCGGTATCGACTCCCGCTTTCTTGATGTCATCTGTTTGGACTGAAGTTCTTTGTTCTGGGTTCTTGAGACGCTAATTGCTGTTGAAACGGACTGCACCGATTGGGATATGAAGGACGAAGAATAGATAAATGTTCCTTTTCTTGGGAATGGTTCCCCGAGGAGTCAGTAGACTGGTGGAGGGCAATACAGGTAGTTACACTTTCGCGGCTGGGTTAATTTGCAGACCTGCAATCTATTACGTTGTGATGATGTATCAAGGAATCCCGGTTCTGATCAAATATCTCACGTTATACAAATTGAACGAGCGATCTTCAACTATAGTCTTCTCAGGCCGTCGCTACGCAAGTGATAATGAATAATACGATTCCGGAAGAGGCATATCTAGAATTACGTTTCGACCATGCTCTCATGCTTGAACTCGGACCTCTTCATGACCACATGTTTGCATGCGTGCGCGGGAAGCAAAGTGGATGGTAAGTCTGGTTCTCTTTTAGACATGAATAATTACAGTAGTTGCCAAAATTAATGAAAACAGAACAATCTTTGACTGACTTTCTAATTTATTAAGTCTCCCTACAGTAACTCACTTAGAGTTCCATTCCCTAATAAAGCAGTTTCAGGCAATTTATCAGTCACTTGCACCACACATCCTGGCCATACTTTCTTGGATGCAGACAGAATTGGCGATTTATCGAAAAAAATTTGATTGAGTGCTTCAATATAAGGAGCCGGATTTCACAGCAGAGGCATCATGCATGGCGTGAACATCGACGAAGAAGAAACGAAAGGAAAGGAAAATTTGACTAAACGTTTATCCGCTGATCACCTGTAGTCATTGTATGTGAGTATCACTTCGTCATTGGGCCAGTGCAACTTTTAGATAAGTTGAGAGGGTATGGAATTGTGCGACTTCGTTCAGATTGACTTTCCATGAATTCCAATCTTTCGACCTATAGAACAGAATGGTACCATGGGAATGTCTCCATATCACTTAGTGCGGCATGACCTGATTCCAATATTGCAACCTCAGTAGCGCTTTTTGACCCATCAAGGAATTCGCACGACAGCAGTAGGAGTGGTGGGCTTGCTGCATGTGTGCGAATTTTTCCATATTCTTCTCATTTCATGGAAGTTTACAAAAAAAAGTGTGTCTTAATGTAAAAATATTCGTTTGGTCCTGTTCGTCTATCCATTTCTGTTTAGCAAAATTCGACAATAGCCGGAGACTTTTTTGTAATCGCATTGAAGGCAAGCATAGAGCGATGTGGGCGATCTGGGAGCAGAATATTTGGCATAACTTCGAAGCCACCAACAAAGGGAGAATTTTCACCGGAGAAAGCGTAATCAGAAGAAAGACAAGTCATGTTGAAGCTTGCAGAAACCGAGCAAGCATTCTGCTACCTGGAGACGAGTGTCATCATCGTAGGAAATCGTGAGTGCAATCTCCCTTTAGACGACCGTCTTTTTTGAATAACAGAATTATGTCTGGTCCTTGTGCTGATCAGGATCGAAACTGATCATGGCTTCTCTCAAATAGCGCCGAATATAGTATCTCTATTAGTAATTGCGAACCCCCAGTAATTGCGTGAAGGGAGTTTACAATACGTCTGTTAATTTGTGGTCGGCCGAGGATTAGCTACAAATTTTACCATAAACTGTGGTACCAAGCTTAGGATACATACGAAATCAGAGGTATTTAACTCAACACGCAATATCAAAGCAAAAGCTTATTCCATCACAACTCGTTTTGATTACAGCTAAAGATAACCTCCGGAGCTTCAAAAAACAGAAATATGTTGAGGCGTTACTCTTTTTAATTAAGGAGCTTAAAAAACGGTAATTGAAGAGAGTCTACGAACTAAGACTATCGGAAGCTCTACGGAGATCTACACCATGCCTGGCATCGAAGGCCATATTAATAATCTTAAAAGTGAAGTAGTTTTGACAACAATCTTAAAAGTGAAGTAGCGTTGACAAAAAGAAACACATCTTTCAAGAGAAATGGAGCTTAATTCTGCGACAAAGCTATATTAACCGACGGTTATCCAATTGCAAATAACCCACAGCAGATGTACAGATTTTTGGAGGAAAACATCAACCATCCAGCCCATTTAATGCTCTGTGGAGAGCATCAAAAGCCTCACATTCTCGTTAGTTTGGATTACTGTCACGACCTAGTATCTGGTCAAAATCATGCACAAAAAACACCGTCAGGTCTGCAAATCATGAAAACCGTTTTTGGACTGACCGAATATATACGCCTCTCTACCCCAAACAGTCAAGATAGTGTTTCGAAATTTTCCTCAGCTCCATGTACTTACGGTAGACTGCCGTCGAATGTCTCATACGACAAGAGCCCTCTTGAGGAGGGATACGGTCCACATATTCTAGGAATACTGTCCGCGATTCGAGGCAGTGGTACAAGTTAACCGGCATTGTGAAGAAATACTGTAGATAATTTATCGCTTTGAGTGCACATGTGATTATCCGCTCATTGTCGAGATAAACGTCCTTTCAGAAGCCCTTTTATGAGGTAAACGTGTGATGCGATGGGATATGATACCACGACTGTCCTCAAATCGAATCCGAACCCCCTTCGAAAAAATCTTCACCACAAAAATCTTCACCGAAACCTCCAACAACGAGCCTGTTATGCAAAATTCTTTAGAAGTATGTAGAAGAAAATACGGCTGAATCCTTCCTGGTAGCCGAAAAGGGGCCAGTCGGATCGTATTAGATGTGACAATCAGAAGTGTGGAACTGAGTGAACAAGTGCCCCTGAAAATAGTTTTCAATGTGTTATGAAAAAGGAGAAACAAACTTATCCTCAATGGTGTGATCCTTAAAGATGATTCATTCATCATAAAATCCATGATATTTTGCTCGCATCGAGAAAAAAATGACCGTAGTCTTGTGAACTCTCATAAAGATCTCTGCAATTTTTTGTGGGTGAAATTTATTAACCGTTTACTCGGAAGAAATCTAATCTACTATAGGTTCGAAACGCTTCCATTCGAAGAGCCGGCTCTACCAAGCATACTCGATATGGCATTCGTTTTTTATCAACGAGGGTTCCACGCTAGCAAATGAAATTGTGAGCAACCTGTATGTGGATAACATCATGATGCAGGCAGAGACTCCAAGAGAAGCCGTGCGAAAATACAGAGTGCGAAAGGTTATTCGAAAAAATCGGAATGAATTTAAGGAAAAATGTCTCAAATCTACATGAAGTCAACTCTCTAATACAGAAACTTCAATGCACCTTGATGAAAATATTCGGGGTCAATTGTAACACAGAACAAGATTCGTTCGCCGTCGTTACGAGCATGTGGAGGATGAAGGAAGTAAGCAAGAAAGACCCAGCCAGAGAGAATAGCTCTTTTTACGACCCTATCGCCGTCGCTAGTCCAATTCTAGTTCAACTAAAATCACTAATGGGAGGAGTGTTCAATCACAGAACAGAATGGGAATACAGGCTCGTTCGAAGAATTTGTATCAGGTGGAACAAACTGGCGAAATAGATGAATGATGCATGCGTCATTATCCCCCGTCTCGTTTCGGGTCAGTTCTCTGGTGCGAAGAATCGTCTAAGGGTATTAGCCTATGTTAGCAATATTGCTATGTCGACCTGCGCCTATTCACTGTGCAAGGTATCAGCGGAGGTTAATATTAGTTGCAATTCTAATGGCAGCCAGACTTTGCAACAACTTTATACTAATGTACGATGTACATAAAGTCTCGACTGCATTGCACTGACAGTCAAATCGCACTTTCTTAAATGCAAAGTTACCAGTATAGTCGAGAATCAACGCACAAATCGTCGAACTCAAGGATAAACTTAAATTCAGCGGCATTTCCATCTTTCACGTCGCTATTGCTTTCGATCCAGCAGATAAAGGAAGGAGAAAATTGAGTACAATAGGAATAAATGATCGAGGAACCTGAATCGATAACATTTGCGAACATTCAAAATATAGAAAAACTGGAAGCAAAGAGACATTCTTTGAACGATGTCTTCTCCGGTTAGTGAGGCACTACGAGTAGTTCATCGGGTTTGCTAAATACCAAATCACTGGATCCGCTTAACAAACGGAAATCACCATCTCAAAATAGAATCTGAAGCCATTTCGAGATTCTCTCGTGAGAAGGAAATACAAAGTAGCCATATCGAATCATCCCAACGCATAATTTTTGTTCAGGAACAATGTAACGAAAATTTTGAAAATCTAGTTAATATTTTTTGGACAAAAAACGAGTAAAAGATGAAAACGGATTGAACAGATATGAGTTTCGCTTTCAAAATGTCGCCACATCTCATCATGCAAAGTCACTAATCCTACTATAAAGCCCTTCGTCTGTCGTCTGTCGTCTGTCTTTCTGTTGTTCTGTCTGCGTGTCTATCACGAAATTCCTTAGCTCCGTTAGATCTAGAGACCGAGTCGAGCGTAGGATGGGTGAGCCATGACCCGAGAAGTATAAAGCATACATCAGCTTGGCGGAGCCCCGCCACAGTGGGCGGGACGCGCATCGAAATGAGTTGTATTGAGGACCATGACTTCAAATTCAGTCACAAGACGGCTTCAGGACGGCGTTTAAAGGTGGCTAGAGGTGTACATTGGCAAGTTAGCTCCAACTAGGAAGACTCACCTCCGATGGGCGGGGCGTTCTCAAAAATGCAATGCTTTATGAAAACATTTTAGGAAATCATAACTCCTGTCCCCGTGGCGAGAAAGTTCAAAGTTGGAAGGAGTATAGGCGGCGGGATGCGAACTCTTATAGTTGGTGGCAAACCAGACTTCGCCTACACGAAGCGGGGATCGAGTGGAAACTCATAAATCCGATAAAGGTCTATAATAAAAATCAGCTCACGTGGCTTCGTCCCTCATGGCTAAAGCCCATAGCGCACGCGATAGCGTGCGTGGCCGCCTGATATAATAGATTGATGCATATAGTTTCACCCCGACTTTTTCGTAAATATCTCGATACGAATCAGTCTGAAGATCAGAGGTATGCATCATCACCATCAACTACCCGACGCCATTGCTAAGGCAGCTTGTCTATTCAGTTGTCCCAGAAGGACGGGGGCTGGGACTCGAAAAAGTCGCCTAGTGCTTTTCTGACTTCGTCCTCTGGATCGAACTTGTGAAAATTATGCGGCCTTGTCGTCTGCATATGCGGATGTGTGAGTGATAGCTGGTGTGATGAAAGAGAATTATGCACACGTCACGCCCACGTGAGGACGAGTTACCAACATCCATTCAAACGAAATACGGAAGGATCGAACACGGGGGAAAACAGCATACATCAACCTATCATATCAAGGTCAGAAATCGCTCGATTAATTTTGTAGCAAATTCGCTGCGATAATGCTCACTGCGGCAAAGAGCATGCGCTAACTATCGCGCCCCAGAGATTCTGAATGCCGCGGGTATCAAATGCATTTGAAAAATACTTGAAGAGTTGCGACATTTGCAAAAATCACAGACGGCCTCCTCTAGGTGCACCTGTGGTGCCTGCCCTCCCCATAGACAGTAATCGCAGCAACGCCATCCCAAAACACGATTCAATGGGGCAGTTCATTTCGAAAGCACAGGAAGAAATGTATGCAGCTTAATATGCCTACCTGACAACTCGTACTTGAGCGGCCAATTTCAAAGTGTGGAGAGTATGACAACGAGCGCATTTTTAAACAGTTTTGTGCGTTTCATTCTAAAAGGAGGTGTCCCGAATACAATGCGCACCGATTGTGAATCTGATTAGAACCAAAGGGAGCAAAGAACAGCTAGAATGTTTGATAGATGATCAGG